AACGAGAGACCCGCAGACCTAAGTCTCTCAAGGACCTCCCGCAGGTCCAACAAATGCTGTTCGAAGGTAGGGGACACAACCACGATGTCATCCAGATATACAGCACATGTCTTGTAAACAAGGCCGCTGAGGACGTTGTGCATCAGCCTCTGAAAGGTGGCTGGTGCGTTGCAGAGGCCGAAAGGGAGCACGCGAAACTGAAACAGCCCACAATGGGAAACAAAGGCTGTTTTAGGACGTGAGTCCCCTGAAACCGGCACCTGCCAGTAACCCCTCGCCAGGTCCAATGTTGAAATGAATCGACCTCTCGCTAGGAAGTCGAGTCACCTGGTTCAGCCCCCTAAAGTCCACACAGAACCGTGGGTCAGCGCCCAACCTGTTAACAATCACGACAGGTGCGGCCCAGGGGACGGTTCAATTATGCCATCCTCCAGCATTTTCTGGACCTGCTCTTCAATGAGTTGTTTCTTTGCAGGGGAGGTGCGGTATGGGGGGAGGAGGTTAGCCGGATAACACGGAGCCGGTCAGTTAAATTAAACAACAGACCTTTATTCCTTGTCAGCAACATAAGACCATACAAGCCAGGTCTCCATGGCTCTACACTGTCCGTACATACATGTGCGGGGATCGGTAGTCGCCGGTGCCAGGCCGTTACGATGGTGAGGTCTATCCTGAGAACAGAACACGAGCAGCATGTAATGGCTGCCACGCTATACTCACACACCCCCTAGGAGACTCCCCCCCTAGTGGTGCTATAACCCAAAAGGTTTGTTACAAGATCTACAGACTTTCAGAGTTTCTAGAGCAGACACAGAGCTCACGTCACAACAGGCTTCAGGCGCCATTTTAGTGACTTTAACAATATATTACATTTTAATTTCGGTCTAGCTGACATTAGGTTATGTACGCAGCACGCAATTGAACCACATATTTTAGAAGCCAAAGGTTCAAATTAGCTGGGAGCACCTTCACTTAATTATAACAGTGGTTTTGTTAGGAAAACAGTTTTTGTATACCAGATACTAAATTGCGCTGACCTCAACGGCTAACGTATCTAGCTAATCGCTACTGTTAGCACAACATTAACAGCAAGCTACAATGACGAGTAACAAAAACAAAACAGTAATAAGGTTTCAATGAAAATGTTTTACCTTTTCCAACAGTCCCAGAATCCAGAGCTTCAAAGTCCAGCAGGTACTGAAGACTGTTATCCGTTTCGCTGTCACCGTCCGTGAGATTTTTCCCCCGAAAGGTCAAGGCCCGCCGCTCGCACACTCTGTCTGCGCATGCGCATACCAACGACGGACCCCCTCCGTCCGCTCCCAGGAGGTTATAGTATGACGTGTTCTGACATTACTCTCTCCCTGTCATTTATTTGGCTCAAAACACATATTAACAAATTGCTCAGTGATGAACAACTACTCAGATCATTTACCAAAGCAGTGCGCTTTGTCAAAACAAAGTGTGTGTTCATTACACTGACATTCTGTTCTGCAATTGTTATTTACTTGTATTTTATAATTTGACTTTACATACTGCTGGGTGGTTTGTAAAGTTTACAATAACTAGTATTATCATTATGCTATATTTTCAAAAATACATAATAATCTTAAAGGAATGCCTTGGAGTAGAAAATAGTAATGCTTTATTAAAATTTAAAACTAAAGTACAGTATTTGAATGTGTGTATTGTGTCTACTGTTTGTTAACTCACCATATTCATAATGTGTTTGTGGGGTTAGGTGTGTGTGTGTGTGTGTGTGTGGGGGGGGGTTAGGGTCTTTAGGCTTTGGCCCTCACCCCTGCCACCAGTATATTTTCAAGCAAATATTTCTAACTTTTATTTGAATATTCAGTTTCCTATCTTCTCTTAAAGGGTAATTGCCAGGTATCCCGCCCTCCCCCTTCGCACACACATGCACACAAAGAAAACACACAGTATAATTCACAGCCTCATTATAGTGAATAAATATTTATGCCATTTTCACCACCAAACTTAGATTGCTAAGAATGAAGAACCTTTTGTTCTTTAAAGAACCATTTGTAGTAGCTGAAGAACCATCCACAAAATAAAAAAGGTTCTTTGACGTATGATGGTTCTTTAAAGAACCATGAAGACATCTGAAGAACCATTTAAGAACCATAATTTTTCTGAGTGCAGTGGAGGTGGTGAGTGACAGGAGAATAGCAGCTAAGCTGTCATCCCTGTTGGACAACGTCTCCCACCCCATGCAGGAGACTCTGACAGCACTGAGCAGCTCCTTCAGTGACTGCGGCACCCACCTGGGGGGCTCTTCAACTGGTGGGGAAGATTGTCACATCTTGCAGGAGCTTTCCTCTCCTCAGGGGCTCTCTCTGCAGGAGGGGGAGACACAGGAGAGGTGGAGGAAGATCTCAGCCTGGGTGTTTATTGTCTTATGTAGTCTGGAAGAAGAGTGGATGGTGGGGTGGGTGCAGTTTTCTCTGTGGTGGGGTTGGGTGGACTGTCCCGGGCTCTGTGGGGCCGGGAGGCGCTGCTGCACTGGCCCCGGTCTGGATGGGCCTGGGCCCCCTTTCCCTGGCGGGTCGCGGAGTGTGGGGGTGCCTACTGGGGTCAGCGGGGGAGCTGGCCCCAGGGAGCGGTCACTTGCCCCTCCCTTCCTTCCCTCCCCATCTCCAGCTGCCTCCCTCTTCCCGCTCCACCACAACCACCCACACATGCAGGACCTTGGAGTAGGGGTATGTCACCAGGGTGCAGAGGAGGCCACCCCCCCCCCCCCCCGTCCCCGTCCCCTTCTGGCTGCCTGTGCCTCAATTTTATCCCACAACTTAGACATTCACATTACTCACACTCTCATTACACATACATATAGGATCTTGGGGGTGGGCACGATACACGGAACCCAAAGTACCATCAGGGTGTACACCTCACCCCTGGCGTCGTTGCCCACCTCTCAGTTTTAAATACACTTAGACATTGAGGGCTAACAGGAGGGACTATGCGCTTACCTGCTGCTCTCTGGCAGGTAGCTCCATGCCCTCCTGGGTTTTAAATGCACCTTAGAACACACATGCATCAACACTACAATGAGCGGGTGGAGGGAGGTTTGGAGTCTTCTCTCACCCCCATTCTCTGCGACCTGCTGGAGCAGGGGGGCTAGGAGGAGGAGTTGGCCGTCCGACTGCGGTCTGGAGTGTGGGGCCTCCCTGCTGCTGCGGAGTCGGGGCGGTCTGCCTCCCCCCACCGCAGGGAAAAGGGTAACACCACCTGGGTCTGGGTGCAGTTCCCCCCCTCCAGGGGCAAGGGTACCTAGACCCGGTTTGTAGAGTACGCTTGGGGAGTGTGATCGTGTGTACAGCGTCTCTTTATGTCTGTCTCCACGTTGGTTGAGTGTGGAGTAAGTGTATATGAGAGCATGAGGGTGGGGATGGATGTTTGTATATGTGTGTGCCTGTTGGACAACGTCTCCCACCCCATGCAGGAGACTCTGACAGCACTGAGCAGCTCCTTCAGTGACTGCGGCACCCACGGTGTGGGACGGAGAGATTTCACAGGTCTTTCCTCCCCACTGCTGTCAGACTCCATAATAAAGACTTTAACTGATCAAACACACACATCCGCACGTGTGCAATAGCAATAACACTAAGTGCAATACTCTTTTCTGACAAAGTTGTATTTTTACTCAGTTGTATACAGCATGTGTATTCTATTTTTATCCTATTGTATATTTTATTCTATTTTATTCTACTGTATATAGTATTTTATTTTATTCTATTCTATATAGTTGTGTACAGTATTTTATTCTTATTGTATTCTATTCTACAGTAAAATATGCTGTGGGGCTGTGTGGACAGTGCAGGGACTGGGAATCTTGTCAAAGTTGAGGGACACATGGATTCCACTTAGTATCAGCAGATTCTGGAGACCAATGTCCAGGAATCAGTGACAAAGCTGAAGCTGCGCCAGGGCTGGATCTTTCAACAAGACAACGACCCGAAACACTGCTCAAAATCCAGTAAGACATTCATGCACAGGAACAAGTACAATGTTCTGGAGTGGCCATCTCAGTCCCCAGACCTGAATATTATTGAAAATCTGTGGTGTGAATTAAAGAGAGTTGTCCATGCTCAGAAGCCATCAAACCTGAATGAACTAGAGATGTTTTGTAAGAGGAATGTTCCAAAACATTCAACCACAATTCAGACTCTCATTGGAACCTACAGGAAGCATTTAGAGGCTGTAATTTCTGCAAAAGGCAGATCTACTAAATATTGATTTCATGTCTTTTTTTGTGCTGCCCAAATTTATGCACCTGCCTGAGTTTGTTTAAACAATTATTGCACACTTTCTGTAAATCCAAAAAACTTCATTTCACTTCTCAAATATCACTGTGTGTGTCTCTGGCCGCTGTATCTGTGGGGATGGTGTTCGCTCTGTGTTGGAGTGGCCTGATGACATCCAGTTTGGGCTTGAGTGGATGATGAGTGTATGCGTTGGTTTGCTGTACACATCAACTTTTGTCCCCTATTGGTGATGGAAATCTCACAGTTTAGGAAGGCTAACCTGTCATGTTTTCCACATTCTCCTTGGTAAACCTGATGTGTTGGTCCACAAAGTTCATGTGATCAGTGAATACCTGAAACAATGACTTGGGTAGGGTTTTCCTGTTAGTGTCACCTGTCTATGAATGATACTTGATCTCAGTTTCCTGAAAATAGTGTAATTTGAATGCTAGCAAAAGGTATGCTCTTCCCAAGCATACTGATAGGGGAGCCTTGTTGTATGTACCAGTATGTAATGTCCCCGATCTAATAACACCAGGAATGCACAGAGGACACACACAAATTTGGATTCATAGTTATTATTTAGTTAAGACAAGAAAATACACCGCTGTTCAGGATGAAGCAACAGCATGTATGGGAGGAGGTGGATGAGACTCCGCCTCTGACCTTACACAAGTGCTGCGACAAACCAGGAAACAAGCCGTTCCTCTTTCTCAGTAAAGGGAGACACACAGATGATCAGTGAGTAGCTGTAGCTGCACGAGTGAGTGCAGCGACAGTGTAAAACTTCAACACTGCTGCTTCAAGCTGCTGACGCTCCACACACTGAATGTGAGTTTGAGCAAAAACACGACTCAAAGGAAGTTTCAGTGAAGGTGGTAGAGGAGGGAGGGGAGCCAGGACTGACTGTACTTCCTGTCTGCTGTTTTCAGCTTCACTCACAGACTCAATGGCTTCCAGATCAGAGGAGGATCTCTGCTGTCCGGTCTGTCGGGAGGTCTTCAGAGATCCTTTTATTCTGTCATGTAGCCACAGCTTCTGTAAAGACTGTCTGAAGAGACGGTGGAGAGAGAGACCAACACACGAGTGTCCAGTTTGTAAGGAAATATCAATGGATGATCCACCTTTAAACCGAGCTTTAAAGAACCTGTGTGAGTCGTTCTTACAGGAGAGAGATCAGAGAGCTTCAGAGGATCTCTGCAGTCTGCACTCTGAGAAACTCAAACTCTTCTGTCTGGACCATCAGCAGCCAGTGTGTCTCATCTGCAGAGACTCAGAAAATCACACCAACCACAGATTCAGACCCATCGATGAAGCTGCACAACAACACAAGAAGGAACTTCAGGAAACTCTGGAGCCCTTAAAGAAGAAGTTAAAGGTTTGTGAAGAAGTTCAAGTGAAGTTTGATCAAACAGCAGAACACATTAAGGTCCAGGTCCGACACACAGAGAGGCAGATTAAGGAGCAGTTTAAGAAGCTTCAGCAGTTTCTAGCAGAGGAAGAGGAGGCCAGGCTGGCTGCACTGAGGGAGGAAGAGGAGCAGAAGAGTGGGATGATGAAGGAGAAGATGGAGGCTCTGAGCAGAGAGATAGCAGCTCTTTCAGACACAGTCAGAGCCACAGAGGAGGAGCTGAGAGCTGAAGACGTCTCATTCCTGCACAACTACAAGGCTGCAGTGGAAAGAGTCCAGCGCTGCCCCCTGCTGGATGATCCACAGCTGCCCTCAGGAGCTCTGATAGACCAGGCCAAACACCTGGGCAACCTGACCTTCAACATCTGGAACAACATGAAGGACATGGTCTCCTACACTCCTCTCATTCTGGACCCAAACACTGCTCATCCAAACCTCATCCTGTCTGAAGATCTGACCAGTGTGAGAGGAGGAGAGAGGCAGCAGCTTCCTGATAATCCAGAGAGGATTGATTATTACATTTCTGTCCTGGGCTCTGAGGGCTTTAACTCAGGGACTCACAGCTGGGATGTCGAGGTTGGAAATAATACAAGCTGGATGCTTGGTGTGGTAGAAGAGTCTATTCAGAGGAAGGGAAACAAAGAGTTTGGATTTTGGGGTGTGATTTTCAGTTTAGGTAAATACTCAACACGCTCACCATCAGCTCCTGTTACTGCTCTCTCAGTTCAGAAGAAGCTCCAGAGGATCAGAGTGAATCTGGACTGGAACAGAGGAAAGCTGTCGTTCTCTGATCCTGATACTAACACACACATACACACATTCACACACACTTTCACTCACAGGATGTTTCCATTCATTCAAACTGGTGATGAAGTGAAGGTGTTGCCGGTGACGCTGACGGTGTCAGTGTCAGCGGCACCGTTAGCAGATCAGGTCAGTTCAGGATGGGTTTTTTTCTAATGTGCTTTCCTGTCAGTGCTGCATGTAGCCAAAACCCCAAATATTTCAAAGATATTCTTTTTGTCCTTTTTAACATTGTGCTCTAAAGCTTCTGTGACTATAGCTTATTCAGTTCAAAATTTTAAGTTTATTCGCAATGCATGACAGCAGTAAGCTACAGCACAAATGGTTGTATAAAATCTGTTTTGGATTGTTTGTTATCTTATATGGGTACATGCTGTATTAATTATTTTTTTGTTCTCTTTGAGTTCCTTGGCCCCCGCTCCAGTCTTTCTGGGTTTGAGTGAAAGAGGAGGTTGAGCTGAACATGTCTTGCGATCACACAGGGGGGGATGGTGTTCTTCTTAAAAACACACACACACACACACACACACACACACACACACACACACACACACACACACACACACTTTTTTAATAGTTTGGACCTCTGTGTTTTTGGCTTATTGGTCCCTAATAGACTGCCAGACTACTAACATGTTCTAGCAATCTCATTCTGGACCCAAACACTGCTCATCCAAACCTCATCCTGTCTGAAGATCTGACCAGTGTGAGATATGGAGGAGAGAGGCAGCAGCTTCCTGATAATCCAGAGAGGTTTGATTATTACATCTCTGTCCTGGGCTCTGAGGGCTTTAACTCAGGGACTCACAGCTGGGATGTCGAAGTTGGAGACAGTACAGGGTGGGAACTGGGTGTGTTGGCAGAGTCTGTGGAGAGGAAAGGAAACATACAATCTGGATTATGGGAGATATTGTTTGATGGAAGTAAATACTACAAACACTCACCATCAGCTCCTTTCACTCCTCTCTCAGTAGAGAAGAAGTTCCAGAGGATCAGAGTGAATCTGGACTGGAACAGAGGAAAGCTGTCGTTCTCTGAACCTGATACTAACACACACATACACACCTTCACACACACTTTCACTCACAGGATGTTTCCATACATTCAAACTGATGATGAAGTGAAGGTGTGTCTGTTGAAGGTGTCAGTGCAGCAGATGAGTTGAGGATGATGATGTTTCTAATGTTGTTTCCTGTCAGTGAGTTGAAGCTGTTAAACTGCAGCTGTCCTCCTGCTGCCTCGTTGTTCCAAAGCTCTTTGTTTCTCTTTTAGTTTCACTCTTTCTTTCTGTTTCTGCTGTCCACCTTTTCACATGGAAAATCATTTCACTGTTTCTCACTGAATGACTCCCCAAACTAGATTTGAAATTCTATCAAGTTTCTAATCATTACAAGTGATTCATGTTTCTATTTGATGTGTAAATGGAGATGATTTAGTTTGCTGGGATATGGACTGACATGTGTTGAATGGGAGGAGCAGTTTGTTGTTGTCTTCTTGTCTGTTTATGACAACAATAAATATGTTGTTGAAACAATGATTCATGTTTAACTCCATATATGAAATGTTTCTGATCTTTGAATTCTGTTTGATTAAAGACTTTCTTCATGACACAAATGAGATTTCAGTGTATTAATAGAACTAAATAAGCTCAGAGTTGAAAGGCTGGAGTATTATGTAAAAATTATAAATTGTTCATCAAATTGCCCTGCGACAGACTGGCGACCTGTCCAGGGTGTACCCCGCCTCTCGCCCTATGACAGCTGGGATAGGCTCCAGCGCCCCCCACAAACCTGAAAAGGATAAGCGAAAGCGAATGGATGGATGGATGTTTATAAAATAAATAAAGCTGTGTGTTATTGTTTTAATATATACACGATGCAAATTTGCTCATAAATGGGTTGGCGTTTCATGTTTTCAGAGTCAAGAGCTTCATTCAATGTTAATGTTTGGATTTGAAATATTGCCGGTAGACATAGAGTGCAGAGGGTTTTTCAGCATGCTTACACATACACCAGTGATGGCTTTTTATACGTCTGTGGGTCACAGAGTCCAAACAAGATGTCCTGAACTGGGCCTTAGAATCAACTGAAGGATAACATTCGATAGTCAAGGCTACACAGGGTGTGTTTTTGTGTCCATGTTTCTCTTATTTCAGGAAAAGGAACAGGAACTGCCAAAGCAAATTAAATCTTTCTAAACCACAAATATTTCTTCTTAAATATTTGAACACAACAACAGTCAAATAGTGAAAAATAGGAAGTAAGCATGGTGCGACTGGAGTCGTGTGTGTTAAGACTGATTTCAGCAGGAATGGAGAGAGGGGAGAGTAGAGTGAACAGGTATTGTTTAGAAGGGTTCAGCAAATCTGAGCTGGCAGCAATCGCTTCAGAGTGTCAGGTCAGAACACTTGCAACTTTTCAGATGCAAGAGGAACAAACTGCCAGAGTTCAGGAATAAAGTTGTCATTCTTTATATTTCAAGAATGGCCCACACGTGGGCGAAAGTGTGAGGTGTGAGTGTGTGTGGTTTGGTCTTATGAATGCACACACTGTCGGTTGTGCGGCTGCCATTTGTCTCTGAACTGAAGCTGCATGTGTGCACATGAGCCAGCTTCAAACTTGGAAGTTTTGTGTCTGGATTAATGCAGGAAGATGTTAAATATTTGAAATACTGTATTTGTGTTTCTGATAATATCTGTGAATACTGGATTACTAAAGATCAGAAAGAACTGCGTTTTTCCACATTATTACTTCTGTTTTTATTTGCCAACTTCAGAAATTATTTTTGAGAATAATAAAAGAAATATTTGAAAAGAAAAAAATGTAAACAATCATGGATGGATAACATATGACAAGATTATATATATTATATTTGAGTAAAGGAAGCACTCAAAACGCGTGGCTATCCTAAATGGGCGTTTTTAAAGTCAGCAAAGAGGCACAGAAAAGAAGACCAGACACCAGCGAAGGAGGATAAGAAGGACAGACGCAACAACATTGTCATCCCCTATGTAGCCGGTGTATCAGAATAACTCAGGAGAGTTTTCTCCAAGCATGACATACCAGTGTATTTCAGACCCAGCAACACACTCAGACAGAAACTGGTTCACCCGAAAGACAAAATGCCAAAACACAAACTTAACAATGTGGTGTATGCTGTACAGTGCAGCGAGGAATGCTCAGACCTCTACATTGGAGAGACCAAGCAGCCACTTCACAAGCGCATGGCACAACACAGAAGAGCCACCTCCACAGGACAAGACTCAGCAGTCCATCTGCATCTTAAGGACAAAGGACACTCTTTCAAGGATGCCAATGTTCACATTTTGGACAGAGAGGACAGATGGTTTGAAAGAGGAGTGAAAGAAGCCATCTATGTCCACTGTGAGCGACCATCTTTGAACAGAGGCGGGGGGTTACGACACCAACTCTCTGCCATCTATAATCCAGTTTTGAGATCCCTTCCCAGACGCCTTAACGCCCACTCACATCCTGGGCAATCTGACCTCAGGAATTCGCATGATAAGGTGGGGCCAGGTTTCACACAATGAGCTCACCCGAAACTCTGGCTGATTGGGTCCCACACCCAATTTCACACCTTGGCTCAGGTGATTAGAGGATCATCAGGGGGTCCTTTTGTCCCTCTGTGGGGGGTTACTCCCACTAGGTTTATATCTGGGACTCTCCACCTTAGAACTGAAGAAGCTTTTCGGATGAGAGGTGAAACGTCTTCAAGCAACTTAAAGAAGTCCAGACGCTTTTCTTTGCAAGCTCCTTTGACCATCATTATTGTTATTATTATTATTATGACACAAAAGTGACATTACTAAAACATGTTATCAATACATAAAATAAAGAAATATCAATCACAATCCCCAACAGTGTCACCAGCAATGCACCTCCACACCATCACACCTCCTCCTCCATGCTTCACAGTGGGAACTTTGGTGTTAAGTGATGTGGTTAAAAAGTTTGAGTGCGCCTAACTTTTGTGATGGCGCGCCTAAGAAAAAAAGTTAGGTGTACCAGTGCAACCATGGAAAAACGTTAGTCTAGAGCTCTGCGTCTGCTTGTTGCTTTTTCTTAGTAGTGGTTTCTTAGCAGCTGTTTGACCATAAAGGCCTGATTCACAGTCTCCTCTGAACAATTGATGTAGAGATGTGTCTGCTACTGGAACTCTGTGTGCCATTTACCTGGGCTCTAATCAGAGGTGCTCTTACCTTGTGATTTCTGAGCCTGGTCACTTGGTTGAAATTATCCTCAGCAGCAGAGTTGACTCTTGGTCTTTCTTTCCTGGGGCGGTCCTCATGTGAGCCAGTTTTTGTGGTAGCACTTGGTAGCATGGTTTTTGTGACTGCATTTGGAGACACATTCAACGTTTTAACAATATTCCGGACTGACTGACCTTCAGTTCTTAAAGTAATGATGGACTGTAGTTTCTCTCTCGCTTGGGGCAGGGATAGCTCAATAGGTAGAGTAGCTGCCTCATGATTGGAAGGTTATGGGTTCAACTCTACTGAACAGCTATCCTGAGGTACCCCTGAGCAAGGTACCATCCCTACACACTGCTCCCCGGGCGATGCATTGGTGGCTGCCCACTGCTTCACTAGGCGAATGGGTTAAATGCAGAGGAGCAATTTCCCTACGGGGACTATCACATACACATTATTATCTCTTTACTTAGCTGATTGGTTCTTGCCATAATATGAATCCTAAGACTTGTCAAATAGGCCTGTTAGCTGTGTACCAACCTGACTTCTGTGCAATACAACTCATGGTTCCAACCCCATTAAGAAGGCAAGAAATTCCACAAATAAAGCCTGACAAGGCCTACCTGTGTAGGGAAAACCATTTCAGGTGACTACATCATGAAGGTCACTGAGACAAGGTGAAGGGGTTCAGGAATCTAAATATATATATATAACATATAACATCGACTAACAGGTGTGATGAGATGAGTGAGTGCACTTCCTGTCAGGAGAATAATGGTAGTTCAAGCCAGAATGATACACAGGATAAAGCTCAGACCTTTGTTAACCGTGTTGTCACGGTCTGGCTGGCAGACCGTGGGGATGTGGGGAAAGGAGGACCCAAAACGCAGACTCTGCGATGCAAACAGTGCTCTTTATTTACAGTGGAAAGCTGTAAACACAATAACTCCCCGTTGCTCCCTCGAACCCCGTGTGCGTGCTTCTCCCAAGTGCTCGTATCCCATGCTCTCTGCCCCTGTGCCTTCACACACCCCGTGTGTCTTGCAGTCCTGTGTTCCGCTGTCCTCCTGAGGAAAAAACACAGACACAGCCGTTAATGCACCAACTCCAGCAGGCATACACTGACCAGCACTATAAACACTGACATGGAGTCTAACTCAACGGTCCTGCGCCGGAGGAAGCTCCATCGCTCTGTTAAGTAGTTCCCCCGACGATCCTGATCAGAAGCAGGTGTGTGGGAAGCTAGGCGTGACCAGC